ACCATGGATAGATGACTAATCTTATTAAGAATTTCCTGTTCACTTAGACCATCTATGTTCCATTCATAGAGTCTGTTAGACTGAACAGAAAATTGGTTTAGCACATTTTTTTCTTCATACTGAAGATTTGGTGGATTAGGTCTAGAATACCAGTTCTTTGTGGAGCTGGTAGGGACTCTAACCAGTGCATTGATTTTAGAATCAGGTTGGGTCATACTGTGATCCTTAAACTGATTTTCTAAGTTTTCTATTTCAGAGTCAGAATCAGTGGTGTCTTCNCTGTGATCCTTAAACTGATTTTCTAAGTTTTTTATTTCAGAGTCAGAATCAATGTCTTCCGGACTACTGGATTCTGCATTGGACTCTGAACTTTCTTTAGTTTGGTTGATGACTGTTATCTGAGAAGTACTGGTAGATTCTTTCTTAGATAAGAGTGCATCAATTTGTTGAATTAGGTTTTTATCTTTTAATCCTAAATTCTTCCTTTCTTCAGGGAGGTTAACTAGAGGTCTTTCGACTGAAGATGGTTTAATTTCATCTATTTTAGTTTCAATTTTATCCAATTGTTTACCTATAATAATCAGGCTTTGGTTGGTGTAATTAACTTGTTCAACTATCTTCTTTTCAGATTCTAAAACTGGAATCTTAAAGGGAGTAGCAGTAACAGTTTTGGTAGCATATTTTATTTCAATAGTTTCTGCTGGGGGGTGACTAGAGGTTACCATAGCAGATTCTGTTTTCCAATTTTGCTGAGTTACTACTTTTACTTCTTTGTGGAAGTTTTTTAAGTAGTCTTCTAAAGCAATNATTCCATTTTTTCCAGTCTGTTTTAGCTTCTTCTATTTCTAATTCTTCCTCATTTACTCTATGTGGCATAGAATAATCTGAAGATCTAGATGTACTAGCCCTAGAATTAGATCTGAATAATCTACTCATTTTAAAATCTGAATTGTTATCAAATTTTAAATTTATATGTAAGTATGACCACACTATACATACCCCCTAATCTGGCTCCAAATTCTCTCAACTTCTCGCCTAAGATCCCTTTCTGCCAACTCTAGGACTTACACTTGGGACAAGAAAAGGCTTACGTGCTCTTGAGTGTCTGGATTAAGGTTGGGTGATAGGGTAAGATCTACTTACAAATGAATTTGAAAGATGAAACTGATAAAGATTTCAAAGTGAGTTAGATGACTCAAATGAAATATATATAAATATATATATATATATATATATATATATATATATATAAGGGATCCATAGGAGAGAGTCAGGCCTCTCAGGTACAGGACAAAAGCCTAAAGGCAAACTCTGCAACTCCATTACCAAATGTGATCTAGACTGTGGTCAATCCCACTGTTGGTCTTGGATTATATTGTTAACTCTAGAATTCCTTGGCAGCCTTGCTGCCAATATGACTCTCTCCCTCGCGTAAAGGGCTACTTTTGCATCTGCTCTCTCTCCTTAAGTAATTACCGAGGTGAAAGCAGATCGGAAGTAAGTTTCTCACCATCGTAGTGGGACTAGTCTAATAAATTTCACTCGAACTGCCAAGACTATATATATAATTTTCTTCAATTGCTGATGAGAAACAGATCAGACCATTGTTTGAAATTGATTGCAGAAACCCATGTAACTCAAATGCATGGCACACATCTTGTAGGCATGTTTTTGAGTTTTGCTTGAATGAAGATGTATTTTTGTGTAAATTATGTATACAACAAATTCATTCTGTTAAGTGTGTTCTTTTTGACTGCTTTGTATATTTAAGCTGTTTATTCTTGATTTTTCCTGTAAAAATATGCAGGTGATGTAGCTGCTCTTGGTTGGTGGGACTTATTTATTAATTACGGGTACCTATGATTTGTGTCTGTAATTATGTTCGTTATTTGGTTCATCTTCGACACCTTTGCCTGTTAAAAGTAATACTGTGTCTGCTTTTACAGCGTTGCAGAATGCTTTGCCTTTCTTATTTGCACAAATTGGTTTAATCCTGCAATTCATAGGCATTCTCGTCTTAGAGCAACTGTTTCATCTTCAATGCCTATTAGATATCTTGACTGGAATAGTGGCTTAGTAGTGTCATCAGATGAAGATCATCAGCATGGTAGAATATGCAGCTTGGCTGACATTGGTGGGCACATTATGAAAATTCCAATACTCTGTTTTCAGATCCTTCTTTTTATGTATTTAGAGGTATTTCAGGGTCTGAGAAGTGCTTATTTTTGGATGCTGTTGTATGTCTTACCAGATGAACTCATCCTTGATATCTTGTGATTGCAGGGAACACCACCTAGCGCTAGACACATTCGAATGCCAGTTCTATTTTCTCCTCTTTTCTTGCTGCAGGGAGCTGGTGTTTTGTTTGCTATATGTAAATTTGTGGAGAAAGTTATTCTTTTAGTAAATTCTGGAGCAGTTACAGGGAGTTATTTTAGAATACTATCAAGAGCTTATGATCTTTTTGGATTTATGCACCATGGATCAAGGTAATGGCTTGCTAATTTGAATAAGATGTAACCTATCCATCCAGAATTAATACTAAATCTGAACATAATGCATGCATACCTTACTAATTTTCAATGCATATGGATCACTCGACATCAGATTGCTGGGTTGGTGGTCAATTGACGAAGGAAGTCGTGAGGAACATGCCCGACTTTGTTATGCTGGTGCTTCGGGGTCAGTATTGCTGTATTCTGCAGTGTCATAAAGACGCATCACATAGAACATTGTCTTGATCTTATGTTCATGCATCTGCTCTATTTTTGTTTTCTTGTGCACCATTTTTTATTTGGTGGTAGTTTGTTGGAGCACTCTTAGAGGTGTGCCTCAAATTTCTCTAGAAATTCTTGTGGGCCTTCCCAATTTCTGAAGGATACTTTTGCATTAATTACTAATGGTTGTTACTAATGCTTGGATACATTTCATGCTACACGCAACTATTAGGTTGACTAACTCTCCAACTCAATTTTTTTTAGCTACAGGAACAGATCTCCGTAAGTTGGAGGTGGAGGTGATATAGCGTTTACATGTAATAGTTGAATAGACAAATTAGTAATTATCATGTTCAGTGGCAGAAATTGTTGCCATCGTGGACATTGATGAAGAATGCGGTAGTATTTTTATCATAAATGTTCATTCTCTAATCATGGCCTATCAAAGGATTAACTCTGGAATTGTTGAAACAATCGCAAAAACTGTTAGTTACTCAGTTTGAGTGGTGGTTCAGATGTCCTGAAGCATGGAAAAACCTTCTGAATCACTATCTTGCCTATATAACATTCAAGGCACAAACTTCTGTTTTTCCGTTATTTTGGACATCACTTGCACATTGTAATCTACCCTAACAAAGGAAATTAAATAAACATCATTAGCACTTGGTCTATCATCTTTCATTGTTCATCATTTCAGCAAATAAAGATATGAGATCCATTATGCAAAAGAAAGTGAGGAATGTCCTATTATTTCTTTTTTTGACTATAAATGTGGGGTCTTGCGTTGCACAATGGAGAAATGAGAGAATTCCAATGCTGATGTTGATGTTTTGGTTACATTACACTGATGAGAGAATTCCAATTCGGAAAAGGTGAAATTGTACCAGGAATGGCCCTGCTTTAGCAGTAGGCTGAGAGCGGTGGTGTGAACCTCCGAAGGGGCAGTTGAAATGTACTTAGGGTTCATTTGTTTAAGAGGATTTTGGTGGAAAGTGAAGGAAAGAGCAAAAAAAGACTTACATTTTCAGCGTTTGTTTAGCAGGTAAACACTGGAAAGTGGAAGAAAGCATTTTTCTCGTACAACCCAGCAATGCATGTAAACATGGCTTCCAATTTCTTGTAAATTCTGTGGCGCAAATGTGATAGTATGCCCACAGTACCGCGAGTTGTCCTATATGAATTTCTGCATTTTGATCTCCAACTCAGTAATTGTAAACTTCTTTCTTATTTGACCAGTGCCTCTTCATTAACCTATCCTGGGGGCAATATTGTTTTTTTTCCTGATGAATATCAAAGATTAGATGTTTGGTGAAGGGGAGTCCTAAACCATGAAATCAGAGGAGTTTTTGGGGATGTATTGGATGAAATCATGAAAAGATGATGCAAGTGAACTATCATTTGTCCTTACAACAAAGATCACCCATTTAAGATCCATTTATACACTCCTCATTTTGTCTGTTTTGACGTTTTTTGGAGGCTATTGATTTCGATAGTGATCTAGAACAATACTTTTAGTTATCTCTTTTAGTCAAGGATCTGAAACGAAAGCTTGATGGTGTTGAATAATATTTGCTTTTTGTGATGATGTTAATGGGTTTGAAGAAAGATGTCTGGTTTCTTGAGTTTTGGGATATTGGTTGGCATGGTTATGTAATAATGGGATATATTCAGTTATGGTGGATGGATTGGCTAAACAGTCCAAACTAGGTAGAAATGCTTCTCTTTCATCAGATGATGTAACTGTATTCGAGTGGTTTGGTATTTGGCCATAAACTAGAAAATTGGTTTTATTTGGTTGGTGTTGAAGTTGATTTTGACTGATTCAGAGCAGTATCTCATCTTACTTATTGCATATATATTGATATTATGTTGTAGGGTTTTAACAAATTGAGGATTAGGGGGCTCATGGAGGTGTAAATGGTGGGGGTTAGATGGTTAGAGGTGGAGATGATTGTTTGTGGGTGGAGATGGAGAATAGACAATATGAAAGGAGCCATATAGCAGAACTATGGACAATCCAACAAGGCTTACAATCTTGGAGACTGACTCCGTAGAAGCTTTCAATCTGCTGGCTGGAACCCAATCAGCTATCCACCCCTTCCATGTGCTGGTGGACAATTGCAGATTCATCATCAACTCCCTCAATGTTTCTCTGATACATACGCTTAGAGAGGGAAATCAATGTGCTGATGGCCTTGCGAATTTAGGCGTGAACCAGTCTGCTGATTTAGTTGTTCTTGATGAACCACCTGATTGTATTGTTCATTTGCTTAGGGCAGATATATCTAGTACTTGTTTTATTGGGGAACTCAGAACTTGCTGAGGTTCCCTCCACAGCACCCAAAAAAAAAAGGGGCCATTTAGTAATTTCCAAATTTTTTCTACAATTTTCTAGTAAAATTTTCATTCTAACCAAACACATATAAGAAAATATGTTTTCCTTTCACTTTCTTTTCTTTTAACTCTACTTTCTACCATTTTCGCCTCCCTTCATTTATTTCTTTCTAACTAAACAGACCCTTAATATCTTCTTGTCAATTTAGGGCTTGATACTAAGGTGCTCATACCATTGGTATGTGGCATAGATACCAATGCCAGCCAGCGCCTACTGCATGCTGCACTACTATACCTTCTTTAGCATCTCTAGGGCCAAGTGTGTATGGGCTGCAATACTATGTCCCATTTTTTGAGGATGCTTGATTCCATACATTTACATGAGAAATGAGAAAGCATTTTCCAGTTAAGTGGCAAAATAATTAATTGTCGCCGTGATATCTAATTATTTATGTTGTTAGTAGTCTGATACATTTCACAAGATCCTAAATATGCTAACTTTGTCCGTGTTTTTATTTAGGTACAACACTTTTTCACCTGACATTGTAAAGAAAATGCCCAAAGCTGATCTAACTGAGGAGGTGATGCCAATTTCCATTGATTGAAGATTTAGCTTTTTGTTCTCTCCCTCCGTCCTAATGTTCAGCAATTGCTTTTAATTTTTGTGTTCACTAAATTGTAGGTCAGTAAATTTCAAATTGATTAAGGCCATGTTAATGCTAATTTTTATCAGATTTGGAGATTACAAGCAGCACTCAGTGAGCAAACAGAGATCACAAAGATTAGCCAGGAGGAGTGTGAGAGGCTTCAAAATGTAAAGTCTACACCTTCAACTGATTGTTTTAACATTGTAAATATGCAGATTCATTAGCTTCCAATTATAGGAATTTATCTATTAGTGGTGCAATGATGTTTGCCTAGTTTATTTTCAAGTTGTTTGCTTGATTNATTAGTGATGAATCTATTAGTGGTGCAATGATGTTTGCCTAGTTTATTTTCAAGTTGTTTGCTTGATTAGCAAGAGTCGCCTTAAGTAAGCTTTTTGTCTGGAACCGTTTACAGGTCCACCTTATACTGTGAAGTGCGCAATATAGTTGAAACAGTTATGAAATGTACTGGGGTCTTTAAGAGGTTACCCCTACTGTCTAATTTTGGATACCAACATATTTCCACTTCACATTTGACATATACCATACTTAGCCACTAGAAAAAGTTGGCCAAAGCAGTGGCCCTTGTTAATTGCGTGTGGTTCGTTAATGTTATTCCATTTCTTTTTCAGGCAAGTAAAATTGATGTTCTTGGAAACATGTACATAGAAAGTTCTTTTTCCCCTCTCCTGTACATGATGGACAACTAATTTTTAGGTTGTTGCTGGTTCTTCTTTCCCTATATAGGCTTTTAAGCTACCCTGTACCAACTGGCATAGTCCAAATTTGATGTAGCTAGTGTAGTTTAAAATTATGTTTGTGATCTAGTTTTTTGGTTATTCTCGTTCACATGCTTCCCTAAAACTAATTTGGCCTGATCTGACTATATTAGTTTGCTGGTGGTTTATGTAAATATCAATGTTGATATTTAGCTTAAAGCCACAATATTTGCATTGACTTCTCTACACTAAATTGATTTTTAACTTCCTCCTATAAAATATTGATATAACTAATTCTGCACTGGCTATATCACTATGATGTTGGAGAGACTGCAGAATGTTTTCCATAGATCCAAGCACTAAACTTTTCATGCCATAAAAGAAATGTTTCTGGAGATTGTGGTTGCTGTGGATTCAAACTGATATATATATATATTTTTTCATTTCAGTAGGTGCTAAATAACTAGTATGCTCTTACCAGATATTTTGTTTCCAGTTATTTTCTTACTAGATGTTTTGTTCCCCCATACTCAACCATAATTTGCTGCCTTACTGGAGAAGTGCAGTTGTGGCTTTTCTGATCAATTATTCTGAACTGTTACAGTTATTATTTGCTATTCTCTCGGTTGATTCTGTGCTCTTAATGAAAAAATGAAATATTGTTTGTACTCCTTTTCCCCATCTTCCTGTTTCCATATTATTGGAATGTACTTAACTCTCACATTGACTGGCTTACTTTATTCAGGAAAAGATCCTGTGTAGGGTTTGCTTTGAAGAACAGATAAATGTTGTGTTGCTCCCTTGTAGGCATCACATCCTTTGCAGGTATTACCTTAAACCCTTTGCAGCTTACAGCTTACAGCTTTCCTTTTCACAATTTAGTTTCCTTCATTTTTTTTCTGGTGAGAATTTGTACAATAGGTCAGATTTCAATGCTCTCAATTCCCCTTTTCACAAGCGAAAAAAAAAAAAGGATGGTTTACTAAAATGGATTCATTATGAAGGATACGACATGCAGCAAACAAATAAGATCCCTTTGCTTGAGTGAATACGGTTTTACAATTGGATTCCTCGAGTCACATGTTCACAAATTTCTTCTGTAGTGTCACTGCAATATCGTTGCCAATTATGAAAAAAAGGCTTTCTTTGGCAGCAATATTTCATACCATGTTGCCTCTACTTGAGAATAGCAATACGTAAATGATTATTTCTCTTTCTTATCTCTTAGCTCCTGCTGTGAGAAGTGTAAAAGGTGCCCCATCTGCCGTGTTGCTATTGAGGAGCGCTTGCCTGTATATGATGCCTAGTACCTATCACCATTCGCTTCAAGGTTTAGCCTGCAATAGGAGCTTCCTCTCATTATAGAACCTCAACTGCTGCTTATGACTGTCAACTGTAAGTAAAGCAAGCATCGATAAGTTGGTGAATGCAGTTTTTCCAAGTCATGTCACCATGTGTACAGTATAATACAAGAATTTGTATACATACTAGTACTCATCTTGCTGTACACTATTTTACTTCTTATATAAAGTTGTACATATATGTGCGTTTACAAGATTGTAAACTAAAGCAGGGTTCGATGAAAATAGCAGGTGCTGGTTGTTTATATCTCGTCGTATCATGATTTCAGTTTATATTTTTCGTTCTCGCTACTCATTCCATTAGAAGCCTTTGAACAATCACTTCTCGTGCTATTTCTAGAAATATTAAAATTAGTCGGAATAAGATATGATTTCATAAAATTTTCAAATCTAAAATCGTCAACAAAAGTAAAAATTTACCATACTGCAACAATGTATTTGGCCCATCATTCTATCATTTTTCCTTAAGAGCAAGAAAGAGTTGATAAACTATTTTCAGTTTGACTAAATTTGAATTTATCTAGAGTCATTATCACCATGTTTTGCCGAACATTTTGTATTATGTCAGTCAAGCTGACCCATGTCATTACTGCTGTTGCTCTCAAGTCAGCCTTACAATAGTTAATGTAGTTGAAATAAGTTCTACCATGAATGAAGGTAGATGACTTGAACGAGGAAATTTCCAAAGTGTGTTGAGAATGAAGATTGTTATGAGGATATATACGAGGTGTATATGATTAATACCATGCTCCGATGCTAGTTATGTAGAAACTTTTTTTCACTTCATTGAACTCACCAAAATTCAAAATTTTAAAGTTAAAATCTCTAGGGTCCAATTTTTAATTAAAATAAGTAACTAAAAATTTAATGTATAAGTACCCCAGCCAAAATTGAAGTGATTAATTTGTAATAGCGGATGTAAACGTAGACTTATATCAGAAGATGGAAAGGTAAAAATATAGACTTGTAATAGAAAATACTATGTAGACTTTTAGTACCGTCAAACTAGACGTTATANGTATCAGAAGATGTAAAGGTAAAAATGTAGACTTTTGTAATGGAAAATACTATGTAGACTTTTAGTACCGTCAAACTAGACGTTATACAACTCTTTTGGGAGGATAAATATTTGGGTGTAATTGTTATACCACATTAACAATGTCATATGTGTAACTGATCAATAATAAGTAAATAAGTCAACAAATAAATCCTACTAAAACTCATAATCACTCAATTATGTAATACATAATCACCTTTTATGATAAAAAGTGGGCTCCATTTTATTCATTTTATTATTTTTTTATTAGATGGTTACATTCAATATTTTTTCCTTCGGGAAGGGTTAATAAGATATTTCAGGTCAAAGTTTTAGAAAAAAAAATACTGTTGGGGGTATATTCGTTGGGGGTATATTCATTCTCTTGGGCCAAAAATTCAAAGAAAATAACCGTTCGGCATAGTAGTAGTATGGTCATTTTGTTCTCTAACTAGAGATAACTAGTATTTGAAAGTACAATATAATGTGAATAATTTTGAGAAGGATATTAGTGGTCATTGAATGAGTTTATTTAAGACTATTGAATGAACTTATTAGAACCTACCATATTTTATATTATAAATTATAAATGTTATTTCAACACTATTGGCAAGCCGGGCCATTTCGAATCTTTCAGTGTCGTGTTGCCTAGCTATGTCGTGTCCGCACTCGTGTCAGCGTGACTTAATTTACACCTTAANTTTAAAATTAGTCGGAATAAGATATGATTTCATAAAATTTTCAAATCTAAAATCGTCAACAAAAGTAAAAATTTACCATACTGCAACAATGTATTTGGCCCATCATTCTATCATTTTTCCTTAAGAGCAAGAAAGAGTTGATAAACTATTTTCAGTTTGACTAAATTTGAATTTATCTAGAGTCATTNACAGCTTTCCTTTTCACAATTTAGTTTCCTTCATTTTTTTTCTGGTGAGAATTTGTACAACAGGTCAGATTTCAATGCTCTCAATTCCCCTTTTCACAAGCGAAAAAAAAAAAAGGATGGTTTACTAAAATGGATTCATTATGAAGGATACGACATGCAGCAAACAAATAAGATCCCTTTGCTTGAGTGAATACGGTTTNAAAATTTAATTTATCAACCTAATTTATGAAACCAACACAATATATTAATATTAAATTTAATATAAATCTAATAATAATAATTTATCGTGTCAATAAATAAAGTGCAAATAATATCCCGCTAATAAAAAGACAACATTCTTGCTCATATAATTCTGATGACGAAGCCATTGTAAGGCCACCATGTAATAAAAAGCATTTTTCTTAGGTTGTACTGTGACACACCGACTCTTTCTACAACTACAACGACCAAACAGAACTGTAAACCCCATTCTTCATCTTATTTTTGTTTATATTTGCATTTTTTTTAATTGTTTTTCCTCGTCACGCCGTACAGAANATATCAGAAGATGGAAAGGTAAAAATATAGACTTGTAATAGAAAATACTATGTAGACTTTTAGTACCGTCAAACTAGACGTTATACAGCTCTTTTGGGAGGATAAATATTTGGGTGTAATCGTTATACCACATTAACAATGTCATATGTGTAACTGATCAATAATAAGTAAATAAGTCAACAAATGAATCCTACTAAAACTCATAATCACTCAACTATGTAATACATAATCACCTTTTATGATAAAAAGTGGGCTCCATTTTATTCATTTTATTATTGTTTTATTAGATGGTTATATTCAATATTTTTTCCTTCGGGAAAGGTTAATAAGATATTTCAGGTCAAAGTTTTAGAAAAAAAAAATACTGGAGGGGGTATATTCATTCTCTTGGGTCAAAATTTTAAAGAAAATAACCGTTCGGCATAGTAGTAGTATGTTCATTTTGTTCTCTAATTAGAGATAACTCGTATTTGAAAGTACAATGTAATGTGAATAATTTTGAGAGAGATATTATTGGTTATTGAATGAGTTTATTTAAGACTATTGAATGAACTTATTAGAACTTACCATGTTTTATATTATAGATTATAAATGTCATTTCGACACTATTGGCAAGCCGGGCCATTTCGAATCTTTCAGTGTCGCGTTGCCTAGCTATGTCGTGTCCGCACTCGTGTCAGCGTGACTTAATTTACACCTTAACTCAATTTCAAAGTAAAATAACAAAAAATTAATATTTAAATTTAATTTATCAATCTAATTTATTAAATCAACACAATATATTAATATTAAATTTAATATAAATCTAATAATAATAATTTATCGTGTCAATAAATAAAGTGCAAATAATATCCCGCTAATAAAAAGACAACATTCTTGCTCATATAATTCTGATGACGAAGCCATTGTAAGGCCACCATGTAATAAAAAGCATTTTTCTTAGGTTGTACTGTGACACACCGACTCTTTCTACAACTACAACGACCAAACAGAACTGTAAACCCCATTCTTCATCTTATTTTTGTTTATATTTGCATTTTTTTTAATTGTTTTTCCTCGTCACGCCGTACAGAAATCGCAATTCCCCATTTCAAAACTCAAAATAAAACAATAAAGTAGGAGAAAAAGGTGGAAAAGCGGAAAGGAAATCACCCATAAAGACTACACATTGGGCATCATCGGCAGATATCCACAAAAGGGGAAGAAGATCTGAAGGAGACACACATGTGGATTTGATCCTTTGATCTCTTATCACTCATCCATGGCTGGGTAATAGCTTCTTTCTCTCTCATCTCTTTGAATACTAAAAAAGCCTCGTTCTCTTGGCTATTTGATATGGGTATACAGAAATTGCAATCTTTTGGTGATACTTGAACGTTTGACTCACGGTTGACTTGGCTTTTTTTGGAGTATGTTGAAAGAATGAACTGATCTGTGTTTGTTTGGGGTTCTCTGGTTAAGTAATGTAACTCAAATGGGCAGTTGTTTCAGTTTCTATTTTTGCAAAATAGACCCTTTTGGTTAAATATATGATTGATAAAGGTGGGTGGGTGAGATGATGGAATATGGTTTCAAAGTAAAAGGTCCTAACTCCTAATCTTGTCCTTTTCCCTATTTATCATGATCAATGCCTGTGAGTTGTTTGCAAGGTCTTCTTATGTTTGTTAATTACAGACCTTACGTTCACGTTACTGTTCATGGTCTAACTAGGCAAACAGTTTCTAATGCTTCCTTTTGTTTCTGTCATGTTTTTTGTTATTTACTTTATTGGGTAGGCAAATTTAGAAGGGATTTACTAGAAGGTTAGAGATGTACATATAATAATTCTTTTTTTGACATATACTAATATATGTGGCATCGGAATATTAAATAGGATGGTTGCCACCAAATATTTGAAATTCTATGTAAAACCGTTATCCATAATTTACCATTTCTAGTGAGACTTTGTTTAGCCTTTTTTTGTTAAAAAAAAATCAACCCATAATAATGAAATATCATTAATCCATAGCCAATTTTTTTATTCGGTCATTTGCTACCTTTCTAACAAACTTTTTTGAATTACAAACCATGTATGCCAGTGTTTCTTTTTAACCTCTTCTTTTTCCCACTTACCTTGTTACAAAACTAACTTAATTGTGGCAATAACACTGTTGGAATTAGAATCCAAGGGGCCAAAAGACTAGCTGTGATAAAATTAATACTTTTGTGAAGCAGTGTTGAAAAAGTAGGACTACATTGTCTTGATACAATTTTGATATGTTTGGAATTGGAACTGGAAAGTAGGACTTATTAGTAATTTACCCAAAGAACAATTGGATCACAAACCTTCAATGTAAGTTATTGGAAGGACCCTCATGATGGGTGATATTGGAAGTGAGCACATTGACGTGGCTAACAAGACATGTGACAGAATAAATTGTTGTTAGCAGTCACTTTGTGTTTCTGGTCATATTTAGAGTTTGTCATGGGCCAAAGAATTTCTTATTTTTTTGATTGATATAGTTCTTTGCAACCTTGATCTTTCTAGTTTGCAACAGATTGTGTAATGTGCTTGCCTTTCAAAACTCGTTTTAGGTCTCATATTTGCCGCACAATTTTTTGTGCATAGGCTCCTGGTATTTGTAATTCTGATGATTAAAGAATTCAATCCAGATCTCTTGGAGATGAAAACTTTTTATAAGTGCTCCTCATAGTGTAGTTAGGACCAGTTCATGATTATGACTGTAATTATCTTGTGTTAACTATGCAGACCATCATGGTTGGTTGACAGCAATAGAATTGCCACAAAAATCAGGAGTGCATCTGGTGCATGTGATCCTGGAAGAGTCGATTGGAAAAGCAACCCAAGTAAAGCTTGCCCAAATTGCCTACATATTATCGACAATAGTGATGTAGTATTCGCCTCTTATGCCTCCTGATATTACTCCAAATTATTTGACTGATACTAGTTGGAGCATGTGTTGACAACAGATATGCTTCATGCTATGAAGCGTTGACTGATATTCGTGAAGTTGGATATAGGATAAATAAATTAAGATCTTGGTATATTGTGGTCTCATTATTGTCTTGCGGACCATGAAGATACTATGTTTTAAAAGGCTACCTTTTGACTTTGCCAAATTAGAGACTAGACAAAAGTTAAATTTTTTTTATTAGGGTCCCAATGTTTTACAATTTATACAGTTTTGTGTTGCACTTGTTCTGTCAAGTTCACCTTCATATAAGCAACCCTCTCTCTCACACAGACATGCCCACTCACCAAGAAGAAACTTCCAGCTATTGTTCAAATCAAACACTAGACATCATTGATGTCAATTATCTTTTTGGGCATTCTTAGACTCTGTCATAATTCTTTTCTTATTCTTGATGCTACAATTTCAACTTCTTAGCAGTAATATTAGATAGATAATTGAATACATAATATTTAAGTTGTACCCCAACATGTCTGTGTTGTACTTTTTTGAAAACATTCATGTTGTCGTGTTCATGTCGAGTGGTNCTCATAATTTCTTTTCTTATTCTTGATGCTACAATTTCAACTTCTTAGCTGTAATATTAGATAGATAAATTGAATACATAATATTTAAGTTGTACCCCAACATGTCTGTGTTGTACTTTTTTGANGTCATAATTCTTTTCTTATTCTTGATGCTACAATTTCAACTTCTTAGCAGTAATATTAGATAGATAATTGAATACATAATATTTAAGTTGTACCCCAACATGTCTGTGTTGTACTTTTTTGAAAACATTCATGTTGTCGTGTTCATGTCGAGTGGTATTAGTGTCCCTCTATGAAGCACGGACACTTTTGAGAAGGTGACGTATCTGTGTCGGACACCGACACTCTTTGATCACTTTTGGACACGTGTCCGATACTTTTTTATCCGTATCAATAATTAAATGATAAATTTTTAATTTCGAACACGTGTCCGACACTTCTTTGGAATGTGTCTACTACTGAACAATAGACATGTGTTGAAATGTGATTAACAAAACTTAAAAATTTTAGAACATATAATTACTAACACTAGACATGTTAAAGTTGTATTCTAAATATAATAATAAAAACAAAAGATGCATAAACGTTTTAAAAAAGAGGAATTCAGAAAATTATAGCAATTATTTAAATTATATATTAGCTACACATTATTTACAAAAAAAAATTGATGATTATTGATTATTATGAGAATTCTTTAGTTTAAAAATTTACACAGATCAGTGTTTTGAAAAGCTCGCCTAGGCGAGAAGCGAGGCGAGGCGAGTTTATCTCGCCTGGAGGACCCCAGGCGAAGCGAACGTGAGCGAAGCGAGAAAAAAACGAGAAAAAGCGAAAAAGCGAAGAAGCGAAAAAGCGAACGCTTTATTATAAAAAGCGATTCTGCTTCACTTTTTTTTTTTTTTTNCGAGAAAAAGCGAAAAAGCGAATAAGCGAAAAAAGCGAAAAAGCGAACGCTTTATTATAAAAAGCGATTCTGCTTCACTTTTTTTTTTTTTTTTTGTTTTTCTGATTACAGGTTAGTAGTCTCTTTTATTTTTTAATCACTATGACTTTTTTTTTAGACTATTGCTGGTCTATTTTTTTTTTTTCTAATAAACAATGTTTCAAACAAAACACATTCCTTTTTTTTCCTTGTGTTGCTGAATTCATTTAGAATATTTGTGGGATGTGGGAGTCAGGCGACTACACTGCATGACAATTATGATAAAAAAAT